TAGGAGCAAAGGTAATTTGGTGAAATGTATCCTTATGATTCTTAATATGGGTTCGTTGCTAGTGTTCCTATACACTAGAGTTGATGGCTGGTAGGAAACTTGTAGATATTTTCTAGTTGCTATAGATTACTAGTGCTTGTTCCTTTGCCATTTCTGTTATTAACCCTGATGATGCCAAAGTATGCTGCAGAATAGGGCTTGGTTATACTAGCTCTTCTCTTTCTTTCTTTCTTTCTTTTTTTTTCCTACTTAGGTGACTTTAGCCTGTTGATTCGAAGCAATTGGTGGATTAGAAAGGCCTGATTGTTCTTGTTGCTAATACAAGAATAGTGAAGAAACAATTTATTCCGCTAATAAATTTTCATGCACTCAGGCTTCAGCTTATGGAAATGGCTTGTTAATTTATAGAACTCTTTGTTAATACACTTATATGATCTAATGCATGAAAATTAAGCAAGAATTCTATGGATTAATGAGCCATTTCCATTTGAGGCAATAAGCTGTTTGGGTTTGACTGAAGTAAGCTTCTTTGTTGCCTGTGTATCACTTTTAGCTATTCAGTGAGTATAATTTGAAAAATATATTTTCTCTCTTTTTTTTTTCCCCATAAATAGCTTCCTTAACTATCTGACTTCAATCCTCTTGTGAAGTGCCACACCATCTGGTAGACATATTGGATCCATTTGAAGGTATGTTTCTGGTAACATCAGATAATGTCAATAAACTATGTTATGCATTCTGTTTATCGTAGAGATTGTTCACCTTCCTAAGTTTCTGAAAGTTTCATTTTTCAATATTAAAAACTGAGTTTTATTCTTTTTATTAGTTCAGACTATTCTGCAGGACAAATTTTTGAGGATGCCAGGCAAGCAACAAGAGATGTTCTTGACAGTGGCCATGTTCCTATAGCCACAGGCGGAACTGGCTTGTATTTACGATGGTATGTTCCTAGATAAACTTTTGCCTAGGTGAGCTTTGTTAAGTTGCTGTGCTTCATCTTTTTCTTCAATATAACTTTCTGATCTCTATAAACTAACCTTTTTGCAACAAAGTCTGCATTTTCTCTTTGATTCTCCTGGCTTCCTCAATTGAGTAGTGTTGCTTCATATTGTGCTTTAAATACTTTGTGAAGTGCATTTTCTCTTATGATAATACTTCTTGTGATTTTATAGGCTGGCCTGGCATGTTCTGGTTGAATTTTCTTTCTCAGGAGTTATTGTAAAACAACATATGTGGAGTTGTTTGCTATGATCTCTTCTTTTTGCTATTAGGTTTGTATATGGAAAACCAGATGTTCCAAAAGCTTCTACAGAAATTGCAGCTATAGTACATGCAGAGATAGCAGATTTTGAGAGAGATGGGGAATGGGATGCTGCTGTGGAAATGGTGGTTAAGGCAGGAGATCCAAAAGCTAGGTCATTGCTCGTCAACAACTGATATCGATTTCGTTGCAGCCTTGAGATAATCAAGGTCAGTGATAATGGTTTAAAGGTCTTTGTATCCTCGCAGCCATTCGCAATCCCACCCTTTTGAGTACAGAGATGCATGGTGACGTTTGCATATAGGCCATATCATGTATGTTGCTTTGGAAAAAATTCATTTAACAACAAACTTGTTATTTTATTTTTTATTTTTTATTTTTTGTTCTCTGAAACATCCTAATTTTGTCTTGTAGTTCAGTGAGTTAAATATTGTGATGAGATTTTCTTCTGTTTGACTCACATTTGAAGGGTGATAGCTCAGACATCTCCATCATATGTGCTCACGTTTCTTGATTGTATTTCTTGGTATGGCAGTCTGCTGGATCACCTCCATCTGCCTTTCATATACCATATGATTCTTTCAAACAACAATTTGATTCAAGTGGAACAAATGATTCTCACAACTTGAACCCTTCTCGTGTTGTACCTGAGAAAGTTACCGCAAAGGAATTGGGCTATGAGTTCATTTGTTTTTTCCTTTCAAGCCCCAGACTTGATCTGTATAGATTAATTGACTTAAGGTGTGAAGAATGCTTACAGGCAACCTGAGACTTAATTGTATAGCTTGTTTCTAAAATAACATTTACAACTATGATTATTGACCCTACCATCCCATGTAAATTTTTTATGACTGAATCTGTTACTAATCTTATATTTTATGTGGGCCCTGTTTGTATTTTGATTGCAGTAGGAACAGATGGGATCTTGTCTGAAGCTAGATGGCTTCTTGATGTTGGGCTTAATCCAAATTCAAACTCAGCAACTCGAGCAATTGGTTACTGACATGTATGTCTTTGTTAACCGTATTGCTTTTCCTCTTCATTATGTATCAATCTCCAGGATATGCAAACGATGGCTAACTTCGAAATTCATTTCTTGATCCCCCAGAATGCTTATTTTTATGAAGTGCTTCAGTTTCTTTGTTCGAGTCAATTCCCTTATAAAGTAAATACTCAAATACTCTTTTAAGGCTATTATAAAGTTCTTCTGAATTACCTTAGTTATGATCATATATACGAAATAACAATTTGGGAAATGTTAAAACAGAAGCCCTATAAATGCACCACATCATCTTGAAAGAACACATGTTCTTAATTTCTACATCTAGTTAGTTTCATTGATAAATAAATAATAAACTAATTAACAAATTTCACATGTTGAACTTTGATGTTGTGTCATCTCAGAATCTTGTGTTTTCCACAACTTGGAAGCTTTAAAACTCCACATGTTGAACTTCAAATAATTATCTTGAAAACTTCCAAATGTATATAGAAAAAAGAATGGAATTCAGACTAAACACATGTTTCTTCCAATTAAATTTTCAAGAAAGAGAAAGAAAAATTGTCCAGTAAAGACCCAAATAAGCGCTTGATGACTTCCAAAAACATTGTTCTTTACTTGGTTTACTCCATGTTTCTATAGATGTGTATCTGAATGACTATTCCTTGGGACATTTCTGTCCAATGTAGTTATTAATGTATGTAATGGTGTTCTACGGAGAATACTTATGATCTTGGAAATCTAGCTAATATGTTAAAAAGACATATTGGAAATACTTCAATCTATATTATGCCATCAGGATTTTTTTGAAATTGATCACTCAACAAATGCTTTAACAGTAGTTCTCATCTAATTTTGTCACCTCCAACTGCAACATGGTTATTCAAGAAGTTTGTTCATTTCATGTGTAGGTCTTGATGTTAGCTCGGATGTGTCAACTGGAGAACAAAATATTTGCTGTTGGAGAACCTTCTTATCGGTAAACTCCCTAGTCCCTACATTCTACCATGACTGAGTTTTCAAATTGTGCTGAAGATCTTTTACTTGTATTCATCATCAAGAACAACTTTTTCTTTGTCTAATTTCAGTGCTCGTAGAAGTAGAATCAAAAGGGTGCGAGAAGGCTTTGAGAATTCCCTCAGGGGAAGGATTGAACTTATTGACAGTTATGCAAGAGTAGGTGTTTCTATCCGTAAAACCACCATAACTCAGACATGAGAAACCCCTCCTCCATTTCCTCCCCTACTCAAAAGGGGTAGTGAAAAGAAAGGACAAAAATATATCCTTTATGTTTTCTCTTCACCGAATATATGGTGAAATCCTTCATTTTTCAGATCTCTTCAATGATTGAAATTGAGGTGGAAATGGACATCTGATGTCCTTGCTGCTGAATCAGCAAGAACTGCAGTAAGTAAAACACCTTTGTATATATTCCTTCCTTCCAACCAGGGACATATTTAGCAAGATATAATTCAGTGATTTCTGCCTGCAGGAAACCATATCAGAACAGATACAACAAATCTTCGAACTGGAGAATCTTGAAGAGGCATGTCCCTGTTCCTGTGACTCACACATGTTTTCATCATATGAAGTTCAGATCCTACGAATAATTTGAGGTGTTTTTTTTTTTTCTCTGTTTTTGACTTTCTGTGCAGAAGTGGAGGCTCCAAGCTGAAGCAAACGATGAGGCAGAAGGACTCCTTAGTTCACAACCTATGCCATCACCAGCAGAAGAGATCAATATGAATGATCTGTAATTCATTTGATTCAAATGTAGCATGGTTTAACATCACTATCATGTGGTCGTGGGGGATGACATGCTTTATTCAAAGCCAAAATTCGAGCTTCTATCACACCTGATATCTTTTCCTCTAGTTTCTAATTATCCATCCTCTTGGAAGCAAATTAATCTTGGGTAGAAGAACTTTGGCAATGACTAAATTACGTTGGGATGCAATTCGATCTGTTTGCACAACTGAAGAAACTGAGCTGCTCACAACAGCTGCTCGCTTCTATCACACCTGATAGCTTTTTAACAACTCACTGAGTAATCCCTGAAACTCGTATATTCACAAATAGCATCAGTTATTTATGTCTCCAAACACATGATTCTTTACTTCCAGATTCTACAATGTAAGGATGAACAGCGTCTTCTGATTCCTTTTTTGTCTTCTATATGACTATATTTTGGATTCTTGTATATGTAATTTTTTTAAACTAGGTGGATGGAGAAGGGAAAGGGGAAAGCGGATGAAGGGCCAAAGGGAAGGATTCTTGTAATATAATATTATTCCCATAAAAACAACATAATTTTCTT